CACTTTTCAAAGATTGTATGGGAAATGCCTAGAAATGCCTGATGAATGATCTCATCTGCACTGAGAGACTTAACAAGTGAGTATTACAAATACGAACTGAAAAAAAAAAAATCACAACTAACTCTGGAGCAGAGGTTAAAACACCCATATCTTGTCCACAATGAAGTCAGGTCCTGCAGCCACCCGTTGCATGGATGTCCATAAGAAGAAGCAGCTGTGCTATAAGGGTGTGCATTTATTGCTCTTCCAGAAAAGTCTACATAGGGCCCTCCTGACCGAGGCTCAGGTACGTGGGAACAGACCTTCATGCAGGCTGAGCGGACACCTACTTGCCTCATCAAACTGTCATCATCTGACCCTCATAGAGATGACGTTGTCTTTGAGCCACGGGCCAGACCCTATGCTTACTATGACCTTGTGTGTGCAATTTCAAGATTACTCAAAAAACTGTGAGCAACACATGATGAACCACGGAAGAATGTGCAGCAATGTGTGATAACAACTGCCATTGGACACTTGCTGAAGATACACACATTATGGTAGTTTTCACACTGTCCTCCAGAGCTCACAGCTTGTCTGTCTTCCTTGTCCTGCCCACGGTTTTATTAGTATTACACATTGGTTTCCTGGTTTTCTTTTTAGCTGAGGCATCTCTGCTGAAAAAGATCAACAGCAACTGGACTTGAAATGCGAGAGTTTGACAGATGAAGCAAAGAATTCAGGCTGGATCCTGAGGTCTGGTTGAACAACATTAAGAATCAGTGTCTTCGAATCAGACGCTTTACTGGGTCAGCCAAGTTTGATTCCCTACTGCTGATGGCACTTTTAGCCATAGTTTCTGGGGGAGAGGATGACCGCAAATTGAGATGGTATCAAACTGTTCTTATGGATAGCTGGTATTGTCTCTGAACTGCCAGTTACCAGGCATCCCTAACCAGTAGGGCCAGATGAACGCTGCAATATTGAATTCTGCAGCTCCCTAACCCTCAGTTTGATCTCCGGTACCTGTTTGGTTTAATTATCTTCACACCTTCCCGAGCTTCACAAGCAGGTTTTTGTTCAGAAACAACACCTGAGTCATGGCCATTCTTGTAAAAAAATCTCTTTTTAGATAATCCAGGTCAAGAGTGCACACGTAAGAGTTTATTATTTGTTATTTTTTCCTTCACTATGCCTTTGTTTAAAAAAGCCTCTCATCCAACCAGAGAGCGGGAAAAAATGCTACAAGATTTAAGTGAACCTTGAGACACTGTAGAAAATGAATAGCAAACATCTGAATCATAAAAGCCTGTAAAATAATTAGTGTTCATCAGACTACTCAGGAAAGATTTAAAAATAAAAAAAACATGCTTGCACAATTCAGGACCAGATTGCAAAAGACTTCTGATTCTTAAAAAGAGCTAAGTTTGCTCATCTGTCTATTTAAAACAAGCAACCAGATGTGAACGTATGCATTTTTTGGAAAGAATTTGTATTGTAATTGGCAAGGAGATACAGAAAATTAATCAGTCTGGAAAGCTATTAAATAATTACTCCGTTCTGCTCCTTTGTTATGTGCAAACCCACCTCAAAAACTATTCACTTTGAATCAAAATACTAAAAATCCCATTGCAAATGCTCTCCACGGTTGTATGATGAAGCTGTAAGTCTTTTTTTTTTTCAGAGTTCCTGAACAACCACGGCTGCCAGCGTTTCTTGAATTTGGCTCCCTGGAGCCAGATGCCAAGTGTCTGTGGAAGCCTGGCTGTGCAGGGGACTCCTCGGGGACTGCACCTCAGATTGCACCTGGTTACACAGTGGAAGCGAGAGGACTGTGGTCCTGCTCCAGTCTTGAGTGCAAGGTGAGCTGAATAATAATAATAAAAAAACCCCAGACGTAATAAAAAAAGAAAATCCTGCAGGTTTTGTTGTTGTAGGCAAACCCTGTCTAGAAGATTCCTAGGACTGTTCATTATCACTAGTGATGTATGATATTGATTGAATCTGTCAGGGCTTGGATACTGAAAGAGTACAACAATTCTGCTGCCCCAGCATTGTAATACTGTTTAAAGTTTGTCAGAGAGGACAGCAACACTTTAGGATGCAGCATGAAATCTCCCTCAACTGGTCTTGTTTTCTGTCTCTCCCCTTACTCACTCACTGCTCCCAAGGGGCTGGGATCCAGAGGGACTTCATCCCAGGCTTGAAGCTTCAAGTGCATGTAAGCATCCTTCTTCCATACCATCTTGAGGATTCAGGATATCTAACCCTAGCATCAGGACTTGCTGTATGCCGCTCTTGTCATTCGAGGACTTTGCACTGTCCCTGTGTCTCCACTGTCGGAGTCCTAGAGTTGCTGAGTAAGAAACTGTCCCGGCTGAAAGGAGAGCAGGAGAAGGCACATTTGCTATCATTCACTGTTGTCATATAAAAAAAGTCATCCACCACTAGTTAAGGCTGATAGCATCTAAGAGGTATAAGGCCATCTACAATCTATATTTGCAATTTGTTCACCAGCTTTCAGTAAGGGGTTTGTTATTATTAGGATTTTATTTCCCAAGTGGGAGATAGTAAAGAAAGAAAATTTAGTCTTCATGTGCCAAATTGGTAACATGTAGGAGATGAAGCCCTTGGGCCAACACCTGCGGTTTTATCAGATTTATCCAATGAAACATTAATGGGCTAAGCCTTCCCCCAACTGTCTTTTTTCCTTCCTCATGGTGGCAAGTAGATATCACCAGTTACGTTTTTCTGATGGGGAAATACGCTTGTCTGTTCCTGCAAAGTGAGATAATGGCAGTAATGGAAAAATAGCTTAATCTTTCACTCTACCCCCCAGCCAGCACCCCTTTCACCTAGCATCAGTGCACAGGATGAAATCAACTGAGGGTGCACAAGCATATCATATACGATACCGTTAGAAGGTGATGTCTTAGTGTGATAGAAACAGAGTTGCACAACATTTGCAGCTCTCCAAGAAGAACTAAGATGTGTGTCTTGTCTTGTCTAGGTACACTGATATGCACCAGTTGTCTGGCTAAGATCTGTTCCTCCACTTCCCACCTACATTTCTTGAAATCAGGTGGAATCCCACATGTCATTGAAGAAGGCCTGTGAAAATCTCCCAAAGCAAGTATGTCTTCATCCAGAGCGTGCTAAAGTGACTGATCAGATTCTTGTTGACATAGGTAGCTTTACGTCAGGCCACGAGAACAGAACTGGAAATGATAACCCCATCTGTGCATAGTGGCTTTCACCTCTACAATATTTCGTTCCACTCCTGTCAGGAAGCTGAAACCATTATAGATTTAGTTTCGAGAGAGAGATAATTACTCAAAATTCTCATCTGTTACTGTCTCTCTAAAATCTTGCCTCCTCCATAAGATCAGCAATGCCATCATCTGACATGGGAGAGCGGCTGAAGCTCTCCCTGAGCGCCACCGATACAGGGAAAAGGAATTTTTGGGCCATGCTGATCTGAAGGAAAAAGAGGAACAACCTCTTGGTGATATTACGGCACACTTACACAGCTTCACTGCATGTCTGCTAGTGACCAGGAAAACTGGAGGCTTTTGGAATGATATGGACTTGGCATCTTAACATACTTTACTCTTGATAAAGGTGCCAAAGCCCCATCTCCCTTTCTTGGCTTTTCTCTGTCAGCTGCTTTATTCAAATTCTGGCCCTGTTCTGTCTCTCTCCCTCAGAATCTCAAGCTGTTTTAGTACGTAATTCCTGTGACTTTCTCACTCAGAGCTTTGTCACTACTAACCTGCATCTTTTTTCCCTTCTGCATTGGTCAGATAGAACATGTACATGATAGTCTAATGAATTTTGGCTATTAAGACTTCCACTGGAACAGTGCTTCCTTGTACCCTGGGATAACTGCACTACTAGTTAACAGGGTTTTAGACACACCAGGCGAACCTTCAGATGTTCCTGATTGACCCAAAGGTGTAAAATCATCAATCTACTCTAGCCGACATTGTAAAGAGCATGGTGAACCAACCTGTTTTACAGAACATGTTGGGTTATGGAGATCTTGTCTGCACTTGGGGGGACAAAGCTTTTCCAATTTCTGTTGAAGGGAAGTAACCCTATTTTTGATGTGGTGTTCTTAATTACAATAGATAGTGGCATACTTGAGAAGAGCATGATCCCGATGCCTGAGGTACTGCTATTGATCCTGACCGATCCTGTTCATACTAGCGGGAACAATGTTTTCGTCAATGGTTAAAGGAACCTGGACAAAGAATGATGGAATCAAAAGTGGGATGTATTATTTCATAACTGACATTATATTCAATTAAGTTGAGGACCTAATTGAGGGGACGAGTCATGGTCTCTTTGGCATGACACATGGAAGAACTCTCTGCCACTGCTCAAAAGCAGCTCAGATTCCACTCTGAACCTCCACAGCTCAGTTCTAGAAAGCTGACATGAATCTCATGGTCAGCACAAATCAGACTATTGAATTTCTCTCTTGCTACCTGTTTGATATGAGCAACTGTGGAAAGGCCTTGGACTTTTGACTGCAGCATGGAGAACACTTTGATTTTTGCTCTCATTTCAGCTGGTGCAGGTTTCAAGTCCTTGAAAAACAAATGGTCGTTTGCTTTCCTGGTCACCTCTCACTCATTTTGTTCTTGCTGTCATTAGAAATGGCACAAAAACTAGTGAAGGAGAAGGGCTGAAAATAGGGTTCCCTTTTTAACCAAGAAGTTTTTGATGAGCTAACAACGTAAGTAAGTGCAAATCTCAGCTGTGCTGGTCCCATGACATCACAAACCTTAGGCATAGCAAGTAGCATTCTTGAATGCATCAAAATCTTGTCTTTTAGCATTTAATGCGAGACATTACAAACTAATGAAGAGAAGAAATGTATGCAGTGTTGCTGTAAACCAAATATACAGATGTAAAATAATTAAGAATAAACTGTTCCATAAAAATGCATGTCAATAAAACCCAGTCTGATAAAGTGATTTATGAATAATTTTCTAGAATTACTAAAAAGAATGATTTCTCGTTTGAGGCTCTGGAAGTCTTGAGTCACATTTTTTTTCTTTTAAAAAAATGTCTTAAAACACATGGCTTTACAGCTGCTGCTTGGAAAATATACACCTCCAAAGTCTGACTTTCATTTAAATACAAATGTACAAAATGTAAACTGAGACAATAGAGAAATTTACAAAACTTTTCTTTAAAAATAATAAAGACAAAATTCAGTTCTAGTATGATGCTATTTAAATACGTGCAAGTAGTCATGTTCATTGAATTTCTATTGCAATGTTCTAAATAGACAAATTTGATTCACACAGTCTTGAGTGCCACCTCCAAAAACAGACCTGAGTGGAAAATTCTTCTTAAAATGTGAGGCTCCACTGGAAGGAATGGATAGAAAATCTCCATTTTTGGGAGATTCTTTTTTTTTTTCACTCAACGGTGGAGGCTCTCTCATCCATAGAAGCTCCATAGATTATAGTGGAAGGATGCATCACGTTGTTTCATAAAACTGAGTTGGAACTAGCTGCTTCCAGTGGAGTTTGAACTTACATGATTTGAATTTATGTGGTGATTTAAACTGGCCTTTGAATTTGGAGAACTCTTTGAATTGTTCTGATGCTGTAGAAAGAGGAAGACAATGACAATTAGATTCCCAAAATATGCCATGCTTTCTTTTAGGCCAACATTGTTCATTTTATGGTGATAACGTACTGACTGGACTGCAAGATTTTTGTTTGAAGATCTTTGGATGTAAAATATTCTTCGCTTTCTTACCTCTATTCTCTCTAGGTCAGGAGGACCATGGCAGTTCTTGAGGAATGCAGCAAAGACGACTCACTCGAGCTCCAGGAGTCAATTAACTGCAAAATGTCAGTATCTGCTAAATCTAACTAATACAGAGGATACCTGCAATGCTCAGGCATGGTTTTAACCCTACAGAAGGTTCTAAGGTCTAAGAACATTATTTAGATTTGCAAATGGTGCCATGGTGCCTCATGAAAGCCGTACATCACGTATTATCTGGTCAGCTCTCTTCTCTAGTGTCTTGGTTTCCTGCCATGACTACCTCACTCAACATTTGCGTTTTCTTTTTTTTTAAACACATAAATCAAGAGTTTTCACAAGGAACTTATCAAAACCATATAACTATTTCAAAAGGTATTTCAGCATACCACTGAAAAATAGTTTTGGTAAGAAGTTTTCAACCACTGGAAACAAAGTTGATGAAAAATGTTGGAACTTCTGGTGGTAAAAAAATCACAAGAGGTAGATGGGAAACCTGGGATAGGCAGTATTAGTCAGGAAATTACCAGGTAACTGTGAAGCAAGCCCGCTCTAAGACGCACTGTCTTTCTTCTACAAAAGTATTACCAGAACGTGGCTGTGACACTGCACATCTATGGGAGGTTCCTTGTCTTAGTCATAAAAGATCTCACCTGTCGTTTAAATATTCTCTGTAGCAATCCTTTCTTGGGTGGCTCTGGGGGGTAGCTTTTGTTTAGGTCTGGTGAAATAGTACCATTTGGTCCAAATACATTCAGTTCTTTGAAACACTCTGTTTCTATCATCTAGTGGAATACAATGAGAAAGAAAAAAAGAAATTATACATCCACATTAAATATACTCCAGTAGCGCTAGGTTGTTCAAAGTCAGGATCAGGATGAGCAGCTTGAGCAATATGTTAGGAGAATTAACAAATAGAAGGTAAATAGGACGTATGAAAAAGAGAGGCTGAGTCTGCTCTGAGTGTTTGCACACCAGTCTTATTAGAAGTTGCCCCATAAAGCTTTCTGTTCTTTTCTTTAGCACTGTGGTAAAGACAGGCATACTCACAAAATCCCAGTTATTAGCACCCCTCTGCCCAAGTGAATCTGCTGTTTGATCCAGAGTTGGATTATGAAATCCGCTCTTGGCTGTGTTTTGATATCAAACAGAAACAAAGACCCAGATCTGGAAACCCTGGAGCTGTTCAAGGTCCAGAGTCAACCGCTGCAGCTGGGACCCGCTGCAGGTACAAGACAATGGGTGAGATCAGGGTCGCCAGCGGAGGAGCCTCCTATTAGGACTTCCAGCCATCCCACAGAAGTTCCTCAGAGCTGTTGTCGAAACACCTCTGTAGAAATCCAGGAGAAGGGAGTACAGTAGGATCCTTGCCAACTTACACAAATACGCAGAGCCAACAGATACAGTCACCTGAAGCTGACATCTGTGGTACATTAGAGATCTTGAAAGAGGCCATTTGTAACTTATGAAAGCATTAGAGTCTGGCAAGTTATCCAGTAGCTGTATATTACTGCAAATATACAGCTCCTCTTAAACCACCTGTGTTAGGGGTTTTATTGGCGCAATTTTACTATGATACATCCTTACCTCATTTTGCCATGGAATAGACACTGATCCTGTGGAAAACTTGGAATAGAAATCATCATCTGTTTGGTCCAGGTTAACTCCTTTCACTGTGGAGAATTGCTCGATGTCTAACACATCCTTGCAGTACACTGCTCTGGGCTACCTCAGCAGAAAAAAAAAGAAAAACAGCAAGAGAAAAATTACTTCTGAATCTGACCATGTGCTTTCATTCACAGATTCGGTCAACTGAGAATGCCTAACAAGAAGTGACTATCTGCAACCTGCTTCTCTAGACTTGCTCTGCCTGCATGTTTATCATCAAAGGCTGACTTCGCTTTAAGCTTATTAAGCTTCCCACTTTGAAGTCCTTAAAGCATCAGCGCAGCCAAAGTGGGTTTTAGTCATCCATGTAGCATATGGCTAAGAGTTGAGGGGAAAAGGACAGAAAGAGCAAGAAACCAAAAATCAAATCCTTCAGTAGTCTTTTCTTTTGGAGAGGGAACAACAGAAAACCAGAATGTTTATGAGTGACACGCTGGAGACAGCTCTGAAAAGGGACCTTGAGTAGAAGGGTCCCTCTGCTCAGATAGCTGTGGAGTTTGCAGCTTAAAAGTTTAAAGGAACGTATATTAATTGCTAAAGAAAACAGAAGAGGTTTGGCATTTTTCCATTGTTTTTGTTAATAGCCCAGCTGCTGGAAGCTGTCCAGAATCACCTCTATTAACTCTTTTAACTTGGCTGCCTTTCTTCAAACAAATCGTCAAATGGCTTTGCCTTTTTAAACCGCTTAATTTTCTGGGATGACAGGACTCTCTGCAGTGACGCTGCTTTTAGCTCATACTCCAGCAGTCAGCCACAGAAAGCAGAAATAGTCATCGCTGGCTACCTGTCATAGCTAGTGTGGTCATCTGATGCGCCCATCAACACCACAGTTACCCTTTGATGCGCAGGAATAATTGAGGGGTGGCTTGTGGGACTAGCCTGACCAGCTGAACTCAAGCACGTGTTGAATCCTACTATCTCCTCACTTTACCATGACTGCACAGCCCAGGGGTCCAAGCCTGCAGTATTCTATCTAGATCTGAGCACTGTGACCAAACAAATCAAGCTGATTCCTGATGGAAGTCCTAGTTGCTGGAGGCTGCATCCCTCTGCATTCCTGACGGCTGCAATCCACATCATTTTTGTGGAGACAGAGTAGTCTAGAAGAGGACGGAGAGACATGGGTTGGATTACAACCTCTGCCATTGGCTATATAGCTTTGGGTGATTCAGCTGACTTCAGTAAAGACTTGGAAATCTATGGATGAAGTGCGAAATAAATTAAATTAGGGGCAGCTCTTGAGTTCCCAATAAATAGCCATAAAAATTTACGGGCCTCTGCTTTAGTAAATATGTCTATAAGAGGTGCCTTCTAGGCCTTACATGCCACAGCTAAGCTTTTAATACACTCTGGTGGATCCCAGATTTGAGCCCAGAATTTTCTAATTTTCTACATCAGAAAGAAATAGTAGCTTGTCTCCTATTTCTTCCCACTGAAGCAGGTCGTAACACCACGGGCTAATTGGCAGGAATAACTAGGCCGCATAGTAAAATGTAAAGCAAAACCAGAGCAGCTAAAGTAAACTTTTGTAGCGTTCAAACCACTTTGGTTTGGTTGAGTTTGCAGCAATGTGAATGAGAGCTGCCAAGATGTTACTTTCCTTAATACGTTAAAATGGCAGTGTTTACTTAGAACCATATGGGAACTTTAAGGATAGAGGGTCTAGCCAGAAAGAGAGCCCTGCAGGAGGGAAATAATCAGATAACTCTGTGCACTGGGGTAGAGACCGATACCGCAAAAGGGTGGAAAAAGTTTTGTTCTTGCCAATGCAACAAAGACTTTCAGTGTGTGCAAGACTGGTGTGTAAACCTGAGTAAGGATTCAGTGCTGGATTCTGCACCCCATGAACACTAACAAGTTCAAAATGCTCTCTCAGGTCCAAGTCTCCTTCTCTGCTTGAGGTGACAGTTGATATCTGAACCTGGTCCAGACTCTCTGTAACAAATGCCTGTTTTCATGATGATCCAGTCCATTCCTCAGTGCCGTAGAGCTTTGGACTTTGTAATTCTGGTTTCACCTCAGCATATATACCTATGTATCTGTATGCATACACGTGGCTTTCACTGCTGATTGTTCCAAGCATGACCTGGTCCTGAGCATACTTATTCTCACACTACTACCATGGATAAGGGAATACAAAGGTTCCCAGTTTGAAGTTTGGGAACTGAGGCATGAACAGATCAAGTGGTCCCTCCAGTATCACACAGGAAGACTGTGGTAGAGTGGGAATGAATCAAGCTCCAGGTTACCACCCTATGTGGAGGCCCACCCGCCCTGCATGCACACGTCTACAGAGCAGCTCTCTTCTTCCTCCCAGCCTCCCCACTCCAGCCCTACCACTTAATCACATCTTCCTAGGGCAGCTACCCATGCAGAGAGTGATGACAGCTCTAAGAGAGAGTTATTTCAGAAACAAATCTCTTGAAAGAGGCCACTGGGGGTTCTTTCTATCATACTTACGTCAGGGACAAAGGGAGGATCCAGAATTCCTGCTTCTAACCGCTTGAAATTCATGCTCTTGAAAAAGGAGTGCCTCTTCACTTCTGTTGCACCTTCCCCTTGACATCCCAGCCGCTGCTTCACGTCTTTGGTGAGGAGCTGAAATATGCCAAGAGGAATGGTAAGGATGTCAAAAAAGCAAGAGCTCCACAAAGATATTTTTATCTCCAGTTGGTTTTGAATGTGGGGAAGTATAGAGGGGAACTGTAATTGCTGTTACTTAATGGCCAAAGTTAAATGGATTAGGATTGCACTGTTCTACATGCTGGTGAAACCCTTTGAAAATTACCTGTTGTAAAGTGTTTACAGTCATAATAGAGACCGTTGCTTCTGCTTCTTACAGTGAACACTTTCAAGAAGAGGTCTGACATACCCTAATAACATATATGAATGCATATTCATAACTCCCATGTGCTTCTTCTCAGTTCTTTTTTTCTTCTTGTTACTCCTGCAAGAATAGTTTTCCCGTGTTGCTTAGGCTGAATGACTTCACTACCAAATTGTATTTCCCTCCACCCATTGCAGTGTATTCCGGTACATCACATGACACACTGAACCAATCCTTTGTGCTCATGGTCTTATCTCTGCTGAACTCAAGGGGAGTTTTGTCCATGAAGCCAGTACCGTAACCATCCTCAATTCAGCCTTGTTTGTTTTCAGAGAAGGGCAATGCACCACCTCTACCTGCTACAGCAAGTCCTGCCTGTTTCCTGGATACCTGTAATGGAGCAATGGACACTAACTGAACTCAGCATCCTTGGTCTATTAGATAAGCAGGTCCATGAACACAAACACAGGGGTTGTAGATCCTGGAAGACCTTGTATGGACGGACTAATTGACCTGCAACAGAACAGTTCAATGGAAGAACAATTCTGGCACAGACTAGTTGGTGGATGAGGAGACAGAATATGTAGCCAAATCTTCGCCAAAATGCCTCTTCTTTTAAATCAGATATGTAGAATCAAGTAGGCTAAACCAATGTCTTAAGAGATCACATCTAAACAGTTGAAAAGAGGCAGAGCTCAGCATGCAAATGACTGGTGCAAAAAGACCATCACCTGGGACAGGGACCTTTCTAAACGTACCACTGAGTTCAGGCAATCTGCTGAAAAGTGAAGGTTCACAAATCTGTTTCCTTTTTTCCTTCCATTCATCTTTGTGGAAGCCTGCACGATGCTCTCTTAGATAGAGGAGGGAAAATATAATTTCAAACTCACCATAATCTGCCCAGAGATTTCAACTGCCTACTAAAGAGATGCATAACACGTGCCTTAGTACAACAGAAAACTAAACATGCATTGAAAACACTCAGGGCTAGCTTTGCTGGAGTCTCCGCTATGGGGGAAAAGACTACACACTTACACTGCAACATCATGGAGGGGATAAGAACACCAGCGCTTTTCCACAGGAAGGGTACGCCTCCCGGAGCCGGGCATGCAGCCAGGCAGACACCCCACCGCTCAGCACTTTCGGTACCCTGATTTCTAAACGGCTGCTTGAAGGAAGGGACTGAGCCGGCCTGCATTAGCATTAGCTGCATTAGCACCAAGGCTGCGCGGCGGCAGCTGGCCCCACCGCTACCCCTACCGCCGGCTGGGGAAGGGAAGGGAGAGGGGCAGGAAGGGGGTGCCCGGCGGAGTGGAGCGCGGCTGCC